TGCAGTATTTAGCACCTAAGTGGTTTTACTGAAATATTTTGTAGGAACCAATCCCTCATTTATGCAATTCAAATCTGCCCCAGAGTCAATAAGGGCAGTAGTTTGAAAACTGAATTCCTTTTGAACCACAATTGTTATCATGGTAAACCATCATTGAGTAATAACCTTATCTATAAGATTAACATACTCTAGATTTCTTAACTGAGCTTTTCCCAGAGTATTGCCACTTTTTGTAATTTGAGGCTCCTCTTCTACTTTTATATGAGGAGTGTCTACTACTTCAGGGGCTGTTTGGTATCATTTATTGAGTTATCAAACTCATTTTCATCATCCAATTGTTCTCTTCCCTTAAAAGAAGCTGTAGCAGCTAACTCTAATACTTGGACCCCAGTTTTAAGAGTCATAAGTTCGTTGCGAACTTCATTAAGCTCATGTTTTAGTTCCGGGATAGCGGGCTCCCTTATGGTCTGATTTTTATCTTGGAACCTGCACAAAATTTCTATAAAACTATAATCTTCTCTAGGCGGAATAAGAGAAGGTTTGGGGTGGCAGGTCTGAAAGTATTTTTGGCCATAGTGATATATTGGACTAAAACCTCTTTTTTGGCTTCAGGATCACTGAGTTTGTCAATCAGTTCAAGAATCAAATTCTCTTTTTTTGAGAGGGTAAACTCAAGTCGTTCATGTCAATGATGGCCTTACAAAAATTACAGTGGCAAGGATCACTTCCGTCTTGCTTCCGGCCATCGTCTGAATCAGAATCAAAGCTTGAGAAAATCATATCTTCATCTTCTATTTCTACTATTAACATTTCTTCAGCTGATTCATAATAGTTATCTGATGATTCTTCTTTAATTAAGAAGATATTAAATAATTGCCTCTTGATACTATGTTTTATTTCAAGAGCATTAATTTTCTTCTTATCTCGGCATTTGTTTTTATAATGTCCGACCTTCCCGCAGTTATAGCAAACTGGTATCTTCCGTTTCCTTTTTGTTTAAAAGACTGATCCTTTACAAACTTCTTATAAAAATTATTTTTCTTTTTTGAAGAATGATCATATTTGGATTTATGGGGATATTTACCCCCCCGAGATTTTCCTTTGTGATGTGAACTAGAGGGTAATAGGGTATTATAACCAAATAGTTCACAAAAATCTCCAAGTTATCTTTTGCCCGTCATCTTTTGCTTATCTAATTGTCTTTTTAGCTTAAGGCTTGTGCAGAAGGCAAGTCCTTCGACACAAATTTCTGTCCATAATTCTCCCAAGGTATACTGAGAGTAAGGGATAATACCATTATGCTTATTTTTAACCCCTGTCTTAACTTTCTCGACAAAGAGATTTAGAAGTCCGAAAATAAATTTTTCTTTCCAGTGATTTGTGTTGCTATCTTCTCTTGATAATAGCCTCGAGTAAAAGACATCTTTGTCCCACTTGAAATGGGATAGCATAAGGCATCGAAGATTGGATAATAAATTTTCTGACCTAACAGCTAAGAGAGTAGTACTTCCCACAAAGTGGAGTGTAATTGTACAAATCAATGCATTGACTGCGTCCCCTTCATCTACTAGAGTCTCATGAATTTGTCTTGGGCCTATCTTTGTTTTCACGACCCATTGCTTGGTGGCATTCAAGATTTGGTTTCTAGCGGATTCATCTAGGTGGAAATCCCACCCTCCTCGAAGCCAATCAGTAAATCCACATATTATTGCCTTAGCAATTTCGTGGTCCTTATTACCACTGGTTTTACATGCCATAGCATACATGGTCATATGTTTCATTAGGTCAACAATTTGAGTTTCGGACATACCATCTATGTTCCAGTTAACAATAGATCTGCTCCAATATGAAACTGAACTTGTTATAAGATCTTATATTTGAAGATCTACAGGGGTAGGCCTAGGGTAACACATCCTTGTTTCAGCTACCGGCCTAGTTTTTCTTTCATAATCAATTTTATTAAGTTCTAGACTTTCTGTCCTAAATGCATTTTCTATCTCGACTATTTCTTGATCAGTATAATTCTAATCCTATTGTAGGACATGTAAGTCTCCTTCAATAGGGATCTTACCTTTCTCCTTTTCTGTAACTCAATTTAGAGAGTCTTTTAACCAACTCATTTACCAGTTCTTGGTTGTCTCCTTTGTTTTCACTCCGTGCAGGCTAAATTTTCCTACTTCGATGGTGGGCGGAGGTTTGAACAGCAAAGCGTCTCTGGGTTTTTCTTTATTTTCTTCTCTTAGAGTGTCTTTAAAGTTGTTTAGGGTATTCTCTATCGTAGTAGCCTGGTTGCCTAACGACTATAGGAAAAGGTTTGTATCATTGTTCTGTTCAATGATATGAGGTATACCATCTAATTTAGTCTTTTGGTCACTGCCCTCTTTAGGTCCTAATTTAAAGGGTGCAGCTTTAGTTTCAACCTTTCCTCCTCTGAGCTGCAAAGCGGTTTCAAGAGGATATACAGCCTCGATGGTTCTACCGTCACTAGTAAGAAAAGTCTGAAACGTTTTTTCAGCCATATTTATTTCAGGATTTGTAAAGGTTGGCACAAATATTCCCTTTTTCCAAAGGATATACCGGAGCCATTTGAAAATTTTAAAATTCTGCTTATGTTCTAACATGAATCTATTAAATTTTCATGAAAAGCATTTTGGAGATTTTCCTTAAATTCTTTGAAAAACCATTCTCTAATTTCTGCATTTTCAACAGAGTAAAAATCCTTTTTGATCCATTCTTTATCAATCTGGAATTCTTCTTGTTCTTGAATAACGTAGGTTCCAAACTCAAAGTCTGAGAAAGTAGGTTCCTCTTGCTCAATCTTTTGTTTAGATGAGAAATTAGGAGTATTTGAACCTGATCAGGGGTTTTTCTTAACCTATCAAGAACAATCCTTTCATTATGGGACCGTTCGTAATCTGTTTGAGGTACAGATGAGGTAGAGACCCTAGAAGGTACACTAGGAGGAGGATTGGACTGTATTTCAATCTCACCATCAGGGTACTCAACAATTTGTTCAGGGTCTCTATTTTCAAAAACTCTTGTCTGAGTTTCAGATTGGAGAGACCACCTCTCTGGTAAGGTAATCTGATTCCAGGATACCGTTTTAGGTATCACAAGATTAGACTTTTCAACATTTGTCTGAAAAAATACAGTTTGACCTTTAATGTCCATCTGCCTAGCATAAGGGCATAAGGTATTCATAACCTTGTAACAGATTCTATAAACAAAGGCAAGGTTTTGGGATCCCGGATCCATATCAAACCCTTGGGTTTTCAGATTTAAAGTTAAAACCTTTAAAAGATTTGGGTCTGAAAGGGCCACATAAAAGTTTGGAAAACAGTTGAAATAAATAGGGCCATTGCATAAATTTGATTCAACAAAATTCCTAATAGAGAACCAGTGAACCACTTATGCCTACTATCTCTAAGGCAAAGAAAAATAGAGTTGTTTAACCCAGTTCTGATCAAGGGTTTGATTGCCACTTTGACCAACCCAATATGCAAATAATTGAAATTGTTTCTCTTATGTTCCTCTATCATTCTATTAGATAGGAGCTAGAAACTGTCTTGAGTTTCCATAACAAAAATTGTCTTTCCAATTGTTTTAATTGAAAAATCATTTTTGAAATCAAAAGTTCCTTTTTTGTAAATATCATGAACTAGGACCTTAGGGATGTTCCAGTTCTGTATTTGCTTTTCTACATTATCTATAATTATTTGCTCTTTATTTTTAACACGTAATATATTACTACTGAGACTAGAGCTGGTAGTAGTTGATCTATTAGATAAGATTCTGAGGAAATTTGCCATTAGAACCAATATCACAACCTAGTTCCAAGTCAACAGGAAACAGTCCCTACCCCTTCTCACGCCTTCCTGGCTTTACAGGGATTATCGGATCACTACGACTTTGGAGCCTTACTGTAATATTAATTCTTCAAACAATTTTCGACAATTAACCACTGTTTTAACCACCTATTATAAACCAGGTTCTTATACCAATTGTATTATAAACCACTGTTTTAGGACCCAAGGGACTTGATATAAAGTCATAAAATAGATAAGATAATTTCTTATAGGAAAATGCCTATTAAAATCAGCGAATTTTTTCTGAGATGTTTGTAACTCATCAGGGAGGATTTCTGTACATGATCCCCATAGGAAAGAACCAGTTTGGGAATTAAGTAAATGTATTAAGTTTAAACTGGATATACCAACTATGAGTATATATATATATATATATATATATATATATATATATATATAGTAGAGAGAGAGAGAGAGAGTAGTTAGTTAGTTATTACGTTAGTTAGGTAGTAGTACGTATACTACTACTACTATTATTAATTTACTTAACTTAACTA